TGCATAGTCTTTTCGTCTTGAATTTTGACACGAAAAATATCACATGCCTTACATGTATCTTTTTTTAGGAATGTGAAAATGTAATTGATATGTGCGAAATATGAACTCATAGTAACTTGTTGTTTACCCATTTCTAGGTATTTTTCTCTATAAAGTCTGTATAGATTCTGCAAATTTAAGTCGGGTGCTAAATATTGGCGAGAAGAAGTTCGATCACCATAATGGCTCATGTACCGAGGAAAACTCTCGATGTGAAGGTTAATAAAGTATTTTACCTCGTCTTTTATTTTATTGCCCGATATTTTCGCTGCAATATGGTTTCCTCTATAATTGATATACTCTTCACCTCGATTTCTTTTGATCTTTATGATATTTCTTTACCATTTACTTTCATCACGACGTTTTCGTTTTAAAATTTCATTTGTTTGTCCCATATTTTCTGCAAGGGAGTCCTCTCCTTCCACCTCAATTGCAATGTTTTCATAATTTTCGGAAGAACAAGATTTCTCATCGTCGGGATGAATTGGCACTATCAGCGTACGGAACTGACACTGAAAATGATGGATTTTCTTGTTTGGCAAACTGAGTAGTAAGGCTATTTATGGAAGTATAGGGATGTGCAGAAAATTTTTGGTATTATCACTACATTCAGGCTTTTAACCTGTAAAAAAATGGTGTGCCTTACTTGTACCATAATCACATTTACTAAACAGGTTTATAAGATAAGTAGAAAATAGGTTTATTATTTTAACTGATTAGACGAAAAAATATCAAATAGTATATTGTTTCACGAGTGACGAAAATGATTTTCGACGAGTAAAACACTATACTTTTTCTACGAACTCTATTATGTCATGTAGGTACCTACTAAAATGAAAAATAACAAACGTTAGCAAATGCTTTATTTTGTGTTAGGAATAACAAAAAATTAACCAATTAAATATTTCAGAAATATTATTTATTATTTAAATATTGATTTATTGTTATATTTGAACAATTGTTCAAAATTATGGGGGTATCACACTCAAGCTTTTTATTTATTGAGGTAGATGCCGACATATTTGTTCTACTGTTAAATGTCATTTCAGATGATGATGCGCCATAATCGGATGAACTAGTAGTTTCCTTATTTTGTACAGATTGTAAAATTTTGGTTTGTATTTGGTTTTTACTGTTCGTGGATTCATCAACATATCCTTCCGCAACACTACTAGATTTCCAACCACCGTGCTTTTTTAACAGAAGCAAGTCACATCCTGCATCCACTAATAGCGTTGCGGATGTTCTGCGGAAACAGTGCCCAGTGTAATCTTGAGGATTCGGAAGCGTTAAAAAATGAGCACATTCGTTAGGAAATTTACTGATTTTATTAATTCCAACAACCTGTCTGCTACACTTTCCATTCTGATAGTTAATAAAGAATCTTGAATTAATTTGATCCATGTTTGCGGGACGTAGGCTCATATATTTTTTAGAAATATCATAAAAGGGTCCAGAAATATGAAAAGAACGCGGAACTTTTGTTTTTGTATTACGGATTTTAACTAACAGAATACTTCCAGTATCCTTTACATCGCTTATTGTTAAATCTTTTAGTTCGTGGCAACGACAAGCGCCAAATAATCCAAAAACTAATGCTATCTACAAATATTAGTAGTTATGTATTAAGTATTTGTTAAAATAAAAATAATAATTCCGTTACCTTTGTTATTAAATATTTATAGTCAGGTGCATTCTTTAGGAAAGTCTTTATGTCTTCAGGCGAAAAAATTTTGGATTTTTGGCTTTTAAAACCATCAGATTTTCTTTTCAAAAGCGAACGTAACTTTGGATATTTACTAATATCGATATCATTTTTAACAGAGAGTGTAGTTCTTAGCATCGAATAAATGGACCATAACGTCGACGGTTTAAAATTTAAACATATTTCTCCAAAGTATGCTAGTAGTACAGTTTCCGAAAATGATTTCACTTTATTTTTTTCTCTCCAGTTCAAAAATTTGATATAAATTTCTTCATATCTCTTTTTTGATTTGGCCGGTAATAAATCTGAAGAGGTTTCTTCAGCTTTAAAAATAATTTCTGGGGGAGTACAATCGCTTTCTGACTCAGACATCATGAAAATGTGTTAAATTTAGGACGAACTGAAACTGACAGTTCTCAAAAGTGATAAAACTTCAAATAAACAAATAAAAACCAGGAAACTAGATGTAGATTGGTTTAATTTGCACTATTTTTATACATTTTTATTTTATCTTTAATTCATTAAAGTTTAGGTAAAAACGCATATAGAATTTAATGAGCATCTTTTTATTTCATTATTAATAATTATAAGCTGCCAAAATATTATACGAGGCGACTGATATATGAAAATATGTAACAACTTACTTTCGTCACTCGTCACTAGAGACGAAAGTAAACGTTATGGGATTTTTTCTCACTAGTGACGGAAATCAAGTTTTCGCTGAAAGTATCCTGTGGCGAAAGATGTCTTTTTGTAAGAGTTCGTAGAAAAAAGTATTTATATAAATATCGCAAAAAAATCCAAGAACAAAGAATGTGAAAAACAGAAGATACCATATAAATCGATATTTTTTGTCTAAGTAAATTAACTAGCTACTATTCTTCTTGTCGCTGGATCAAAAGCGATTCATCTGATATTTCACACTTCAACTTTTACAAAAATAACCTCTATTGTTTTCACCTCAAAAACATAAGTGATCTAAGTAACACTTTTGTAGTTCTAACCATCCTAATTTTAAATTATGAGCAAGAGCAAAACTGATCTATGTATTAAAAAATGTAAATAAAACATTACTATGGTGGACTGGTTACTGTTTGCCAGCGCTACTTTAAAAACTGCACTGTTAAATAGAGCACAGCAGTTAATGTCCAGAGTAGAGAATCAAATCATCTCGACCTTCTTAAATCATTTGTGGATATCCTTTAAAGGTTGTTTAGAGTACCTTGTCTAGTTGGGTCCTTTGTAGTAAGATTGCATAAACTGGAAAGTAGTGCTCTAATGTAGCTACTTGCCCTAGGTTTTTCCTCTCCAAGTGTAAGGAATCTCAGTCTTGGTAGACATTCACAGTAGCACAACACGAGTACTGCAATATTTGAAAGATTCGTATGCCCCGCCCGACTTTGTGATGTCACTGTGTGCGTTGCGCAAAATAGAATGATTTTAAGCAAGTCATTGTTCGTTTCACGGATCTATTAACGTGCTGACATCTCTTTTTAGCTAGAAGCTTTCGGAAAAGCATCTCGTTTCCTCTAAATCACTCAAAAAAGTGAGCCAAAGAGACGCGATTAGTCAGAGCGCAGTGGCGTACCAAAAAATAGAGATTAACACGTATGAAAACAATAAAATTATTAAAATTGAATTAATATTTTTCTGTTATTTATTTTAAAATAATTATTTTCATGAAATGTAATTGGGTGTTTACTGTACAAATGAATCAATAGAGAAACCGCCCCTGTTATGAATGGTGAAGATTCCAGGTTTGAAATATGTACTCCCAAAGAAATCATAGAAAAGACAAATGAGGCCACATTAAATTTGCTGCCCGAGAAATCCAAAGAAAATTATCTAAACAAATATGACACTTTTATAAAATAGCATAAGCAGAATGATATTCAAAGCTATACGTACAGAGCGGGTGCTATTAGTTTTTTTTTTTATTTGAAGAAAGGTCTAGACAATTCAAGTCTTCTACATTATGGTCTAAACTAAAAGCAACCATAATTGTTAATTATAATGTAGATAAAAATAAATATTCTAAACTAATAGCATTTCTAGAGGAGTTTAATTAAAATATTCCAAATTACTCTTTTGATTTTATTATATTATATAAGGAGGGCTGGTCTGTATTTAGCATATTTTGTGAAATTACTCGATTATGGACTATTTTGAAAAATTTTGCATAAAGCAAAAATTATATGGCCGTGTGTTGGAATTAAAAACGACGGATTACAAGAATCTTTGAAAATTGTCCATGTAAATGAGAAGTATAAATAAAAAAAATTGTCGATTCACACGTAGGAAGGACAGAATACATCTGGTTCCATAGTGATACCGAGATATGGTATCGGCGAAGATATAGTGTGTGTAATGAGATCGGGGTCAAAGGAGACGCGAGCTGTCCGGACTTTGCCGGTGGTCTTGCTCAGTTAGGACGAGCAGCCACAAGCAGCTCGGGCACCGGGCAGGAGCGCCGACATTACTCATATACTTACTTCTTTCTCGAGTTCGAACACAAGAATGATATCGCATTATATAGTCGTAAAGCAATAAAGGGTACTTCGTGCGTTTGCGTCTAAAGGATTAAATGTTGATAAATTTTAATACGTAGTCTTGGCAGTACCCACCAATTCTTGCTATTAGTGAAGACAAACTATCTAATGGATTTGTAGCAGCAGAGGAAAAGCTAAAGCCAAAAGAATAATTTTTAACACTTTAATTGAAGAAGTGACTGTTTATTATAAATGATTTTTCTTAATCAAGCATTACACTACAAAAAAAATTAAACTTTAGGTTATTTAGGTTTGTAACCTATTATTTCAATGGCCAAAAAATACTTTAGACCAGTGGCGGCTTGTAGTAGATTAAAAACGGTGTTCATTTTTTTCCAATAACTTTATCGTTTGTAAGTTTATATTAAGTGTAATGATTTTTTTTTGTATGTCATCGGCTTCAACTACTCTGGTTATTTTGCCTTATGTTCGGTGTAAAGTTTGTTATATTACATAATATTTACTACCCAGATATAAACTAGAATGAAGATATATGAAGCGCTAGGAGGAACAAGATACACAAGCCACATTTAAAAAAAAATAGATTTGTTTATAGAATACTTTCTCAAGAAGGTCTGAAGCCACGGTGAAAATATTTCTAGCGTGCACGAAGATATAGCGCCACCAAACCTGTAGATTCTTGTTGCCCAAATTAAATATCAGGAATTTTTCTAGCCTAGAAAGTCGTATGCTACCTAAAAAGCAACATGGCGGAACAGAAGCAGCTGACTGTAAAACGAAAAGTGATTGAAAATGAAGTTTCTAGTGCCAGTTCGGGAAATGATTTCGATTCAGATGATAGTGTGAAGGACCGAAATTATTATCCTGATGTTGGCAGCTCCGATTCTTTGACGGACGACGATTTATCGATAAGTAAATAATATTGTGGCTTATGACCGTCTTACCCTTTTTTTTGAGGCATGTGCCCTTTTACTTCCAGAATATATTAAATATATTTTCCAGGATTTAACTATTGTTAATAACACAAGATTACAAAAAAAAGTCCGGACTATTTGATCAGACCATTGTATTCCTAGTTATTTAGGCATCCTGAATCCAATCCCGGGGTCAGTTTAGCTCCATAACGTCAGAAAAATCAGATTTCAAGGTCATTTAGAGGTCAAAATGGGGATTTCTTGGAACTGGCTCCTGGACAATTTCTCAAGCGATCTGTTAAGTTAAGGGGTAACTGTGTAGGTCTTAAATACCTTCCAAACATTGGAAACGGTCCCAAAATCTCGACCAAGACCAGCGCAGGGACAACCATGTGGATAAAATGTTGTCATGATCGTTGTATCTCGCGAATTTTGATCTCCCTGCCAAGTTGTTTAATTTCGGCGATCCATTTAATGCTAGATAATACCAGTGGATCCAGAACTGACCGAAATAGCCCTAGAATCTTGCCAGAACATTGAAGGTATGCTCAAGTATTTCTAGATATTCGAGCTCGTGAATTTTGCTTCCCTTGCCAACACGTATAATTTTGGCGATTGAGTTATCGTCAGTTAATGCCCACTTCTCAAAGTGTTCCTAGAACATCGTCCAAAAATTGCGTGAAGCTGAGTATAATGTCCGGGGCAAACTAAGGTTGCAGAAAATGGCCCGAGGAGCCCAGCCCGCAACCTCAGAGTTTGCCACCTTTGTTCTGCTGAGACAGGCCATTGGAATTCAAATCTTCTGATAAGACGTCACATTCCAGCAAGTGAATTGGTGTGGCTATCATTCAATATTTGCGACTATGACTTAGAGTCTACTAATAAAATCAGTTCTGCTAACCTAACCTAACTTCACTATGGTCGCGGAGTCTTGTCGCCGGGAATTTCGGGAGCGGGATTCTTGACAGTGGCCCATTGAACGTATTTCCGTTGTCAAGAATTCTACACCTTAAGTCAGCTCTAGCGGGAGAAGCAGCTGATCTATTCGACGTTCGGCCAAGGTTCTATAGGTTCTCAGATCAGTGCTGAGTGGATCGCCGTTCGACCAAAGCAAATTTAACATCAAATTCTCGCTTTTTGGCGAAGAACTTGAAATTTGTAACTTAGTAATTACAGGGCCACTTCCTACCCACTGGGTCGGACCTAGGCAGTACACGGAGCATGAGACAAATATTTTGGCAAGATTCTGGGTCCTCAAAGTTAATGCTGGATGGACGGTCAAAAACTCATAGCAAATGCATCGTCGCAATCGACGCTTGACAGTGGAATAGAAAGTCGCCAGTTAGTAATCCCCTGAGCCAGTTTTCCACCTTAGGCCAGACCTGAGCGGGACATGAAGCATAACTCCAATGTTCTGGCAAGGTTCTAGGGCCATTTGGGTAAGAAATTATACACCTTGGCAGGGAGATCGAAATTCGCGAGATACAGCCATCATGGTAACATTTTATCCACTGGGCTGTCCCTACACCGATACTGGTTAAGATTCATGGCCCCTGTCCAATATTTGGAAGGTATTCACGACCTAGACAGTTACCCCTCAACTTAATAGATCGCTTGAGAAATTGTCCCTAGGCCGGTTCCGAAAAAGCACCCTTTTAACCTCTAAATGACCTTGAAATCTGGGTTTTCTGACGTGATGGGGCAAAAATGACCCCGGGATCGGATTCAGGATGCCAAAATATCTAGGAATACCATGGTCCAGTCAAATAGTCCGAACTTTTTTTTTGTAAACCTGTGTAATTATTTGTATAAGAAAATAAAGTAAGTATAAAATAAATTTCTAGTACACATTAACACTAATTTAGCCAAGCTTATTTCTTAAAAAATTTATTACCTGTTTTATGTAACCTGTGCCCTTTTTGAGTTAAAAAAAAATCATTCAGTATTTGGTTATTTTTTTAAAATCTCATTCCCAAGATAATGAAGCTGATGTATCAAGAGGCGTCTTAGAAACACCTGATAAAGAAAGCTACTCCGTCACGATGGCGGAAACAAAATATTCAAAGAAGAAAAAAAGAAAAAGGCAAAATCAAGCGAAACCTGAGACACTCTTATGATAGTAGTAGAGGAAAGAAAGTTGAAGATAGAAAGATTAGTCCTCCCTGCAAATATCAGAAGAAGTGCAGAGGGAAGATGGTTGGAAAGGAAAAGGAAATTTTTAACGATTTTTGGAATTTGGGATCTTATAAGGAACAAACCATTTATTTATTTGGATCTATTAAAGCCGTACTGAAAAAAACCTCACATAGGAAAAAACAAATAGGCAAGAATCCTCCAGGAAAGTAAATTATCAACATTTAGTAAAGTTTAGTGGCTTAGACATACAAATCTGTAAACAATAGCTTTTATCCGTGCATGGATTAGAAAACTACGACTTCTTTGCAAACAGATTGCAGAAGGAAGACGTGTTCCAAAAAATGACGCACGAAGGAAGCACCACACTAGACCCAATAAGATTCTATATGAGCAAATACAATCTGCTCATGATCAAGGCTTTTCCAAAATATGTTAGCCATTACAGTAGAAAGAAGAATCCCAACAGAGTATACTTAGATCACGACGTTTCCATCTCTTCTCTGTACAAAGATTTTTACCTTGACTGGTGTAAAGATAAAAACATTACACCAGCAAAAAAGATATGTAATGAAGGATAATTTGTAATAAATACAATATCAGCTTTAAACTTCCAAACAGCGATACGTGCCATACATGTGACTCCCTAAATATTTCGATCCAGACAGAAAAAAATAATAAAAACGATGAAGAAATAAAAAAAAATAAAAACTCAACGAGACCTTCATTATAGGCGAGCAGCTGCCATGCAGAACAGCTTGAGAGAGGAAGTGAAATCAGCCAAAACTAATAAAGATAAAATTGTGCTTACTTTGGACTTACAACAAACATTTTCTACACCAAGTTTAACTGTTGCCTTTTATTTGCGAAAGGCTTCGACTTATAATCTAGGTGTTCATGATTGCGTAAGTGGAAAAGCAGCCATGCTCATGTGGCCGGAAACAACAGCAAAGCGAGGTAGTGAAAAAATCGCTAGTATCCTGCTAAAGTATCTTTCTTCCAAACTGCCTAGTCCCATTACTAGTTTTCTATTAATGTTGAAAAAAGGCATACTTAATTGTGGAAATATTTGGAGAAATTAAAATTTTTATTATTTAATTTTTCAATAGAGATTTATTGCAAGTTCACTTAAGGTCAGTCACTATTAGTGCGCTCTTATTTTGACATCCAAGCATGCATAGATCGTTTATGTTCTAAAACTGACTTCATTAAAGATTGTGGATGTTTAAGGGAAGTAGGTAGTGGCGACTTTATAGCTTTCGGGTACGCTCGCCGACATTCGTATCCGTTCAAAGTTTTTTAATAATAAATATTTAATATAATCGTCATCTTAATCTTTCAAAATTATAATTTCTAATGCCTTTTCAATATTATGTACTATTATAGACAACAAAAAAGATAAACTATAATTTCAAGTTATTAAAATGAGGTTAAAAATAAGTATAAGGACAAGGATTCTAATGTCAAAATTTCAGGTTTGTAATAAGTCTGATTTTAGCATGGTAATTATTTGATTCTAATTACGATGTCACTATTAGTGGCTGGCGTTATAGAAATTTGCAATATCTCTCTAATTGTGGCCCCTTGTGGCGAAAAGCGCGACTTAAAATAAATTTTTATAATTTTCTCAAGACCACTTTATTCGCGATTTTTTTACTAAATTTCTATACATAGTAGTGTCCGAGATATGGCCTCTACAACCTGTATTCTAAAGATTTCTTGAATCATATACCATCAAAGAACAAAGCAGCTGAAGAAAGGCTTTATGCTTCTGTTAAAATAGTCAAATTTTTTCAATTATTTTTCACATGTTTTGGAATGATAATTAGCTATCTTTCACAGTAACTTCATAGTATTAGGTATATTTATTTCTTGTAGAAAAAAAGAAATTTGAATTTCTATAAAAAAAGTACAAACCATGATAGGTTCGTTTTCCACACATCCCTCCGACTATCAGGCCAACGGGTTTGGATTAAATGTTGATAAATATTCTTGTACAGGCAAGACGAGTGCGACTATAGAAATCTGCCAAGGAAATAAATTGATTTTATTTAGGAACATTAATTTCGCAATTAAATAGATGAAAGAGAGGTTAAGGAGCAAGAAACCTGATTAAGACTTCCACTTCTCGCTTTCAATGGGTTCTTTCCCATGCTGGTTTGCGTTTGCGTAGACATCGAGGCTTGTAGTCCCATCCGTCATGATTATTTTGCCTGGTGTGAAAAATTCTTCTTCCTGCGGGTGACATTTAATATCCACATCTACTAAACACCAACGTAAATTTATTCCTGAATTTTTTAATCACTGTTTCTTCAATTGAACGTGTTCTTAAATTAATCATTAAATAGTAAGAAATTACACTCAAAATCGATTCTACATACAAAAATTTATTAATACGAGATTATTTGGTAAATGGTTTTGACCCTAGGACTATCCTTCGGCATCTAGAAGAAGTAACTGGTATCAAGGCCCGCTCTAGCCTTCATGTCACGTCATATATACAGGGTGCTCCTTAATGACATGCTAATATTCAAGGGGGTGATTCTTGGGCCTATTTTAAGAAAAAAACTTTACATGGACGTAGGTCCTAAACCTCCTAACTTTTCAGATACAGGGCGGTAAAATTAAAAAAAAAAAATATTATTTATAATAACTGTGACACTGTTGTAGATGAAAATAAGCACACGTCTTCTATGAATCAAGATGCATTATCTGATGTTAAAACAATTTTATTATTTTTAGCGGTGGCGTCCGTACGGCTAGTATTCCTGTGATGGACTAGTATTCTTGTGACGGGCTAGCAACCTGCTAAAAGATACCTTTATGACAGGCAGTTCTATTTGTATGCTGCTAATGACACGTAGAGATAGTAAGACATCAACCGTTTACTAGAGTTTTCCCAGCCGGAAAGAAGTCACTGTGTACCGCAAGTTTTTGCTCACTTATTACTTTCCTATCTGTATACAGATATAAGGAAAGTATAGGAATTATGATTTTTTTCGACCTCAAGTTTTCGACGGATTTTTACGTTTTGAGGTCCCCTGAATCCGTTTTGACTATTTTCGCGATGATGTCTGTCTGTCTGTGTGTGTGTGTGTGTGTGTGTGTGTGTGTGTGTGTGTGTGTGTGTGTGTGTGTGTGTGTGTGTGTGTGTGTGTGTGTGTGTGTGTGTGTGTGTGTGTGTGTGTGTGTGTGTGTGTGTGTGTGTGTGTGTGTGTGTGTGTGTGTGTGTGTGTGTGTGTGTGTGTGTGTGTGTGTGTGTGTGTGTGTGTGTGTGTGTGTGTGTGTGTGTGTGTGTGTGTGTGTGTGTGTGTGTGTGTGTGTGTGTGTGTGTGTGTGTGTGTGTGTGTGTGTGTGTGTGTGTGTGTGTGTGTGTGTGTGTGTGTGTGTGTGTGTGTGTGTGTGTGTGTGTGTGTGTGTGTGTGTGTGTGTGTGTGTGTGTGTGTGTGTGTGTGTGTGTGTGTGTGTGTGTGTGTGTGTGTGTGTGTGTCTGTATAACGCATAACTCATGAACATACACATAAAAACACCAAATTTTAAACTTAAGCTTTATTTCAGCGTCCAATGAGCTGATTAGATTTTGGGCAGAGCCGGAACATCTGGGGGGGTACTTTATGAGTGGTCATTTTTATATTTTACGGAATATATTCGTTATTTACGTTTGGAGAAGAAAATTATTCAAATAAAAGTTACTTACAATATTATTATCTATAATTTTTGTCCTATATAAAATTTTCCTAAAATGGTCCGTATTCGAGAAATTTCACAAAATGTAAAAAAAATAATTTTTTATAAAAATTGTTCAAATAAAAGTTGTTTGTAATATAATTCTCTATAATTTTTATTTTATACATAATTTCTCTAAAATGGACCGTATTCGAGATATTTGAGAAAATGTGTAAATTTCGAAATTTGAAGAAAACTCAAAAACCGATAAAGGAAAAAACATTAAATTTTAAACTTAAGGTTTATTTCGGTCTGACGTGAAATTATTAGATTTTGGACAAAGTCGGAACATCCGGGGGGGTACTTTATGGGAGGCCGTTTTTATATTTTATGGAATATATCTGTTATTTATGTTTGGAGAAAAAAATTGTTCAAATAAAAGTTACTTCTAATATTATTATCTATAATTTTTGCTTTATGTAAAAATTTCCTGAAATGGTCCGTATTCGAAAAATTTGACAAAATGTGCAAAATTCTGATTTTTATGAAAATTGTTGAAATAAAAGTTGTTTGCGATATCGATCTATATAATATTTGTTCATACATGATTTTTTTAAAATGGACCGTAATGGAAAAATTGTAGGAAAAGTGCTAAATTTTAATTTTTCAGTATTTTCATTTTCAATGAATATCTATAGAAAAATGTTTCGCGGTAGATGTATATGGACAATGTATATATTTAGTTTATCCTCTAAACATTTATAGAGATGCTGCAATAGGTTGTACAGAATAACCGGAAAAAGCCTGTAATAACTAGATAGGAAAGTCATGTGTTGGACACATCAGATTTTTTTTATATTACTATTTTAATTCTATTTTATTGGGGAGGTATTAGTACATAACTTTATTTAAACCTAATGTAAACGAGGTTTACACTAGATTTTAATAAACCTGAAAACGTGGAGTATATTACTTATGGGTAACAATTGATTTTAATAAATAACATAGTTTTACTCGTTTTTACCCCTAGCGACCGTAAATAGATCACTATTATTTATTTATTTATTTTGATAAATACAGTATACACCTCATGTGTCACATTTTTAAGATTACCCCTAGTCCCATTAACTAATGTAGCATTTTAGCATTGAATAATATTTCCAGTGATGCTGGATTTATCGTTAATAGTTAGGGAATCTAATCGTTAATGTACTAAATGATTTAATTGTTAAATATTGTTTATTTCGAAGTGTGAAAGAGGTTGACACATGTCAACACACAATTTATATTATTAAAAATTTGGGCATTTATATATTGAATTTTTCTTGTTATTTAACCCCACTTGCTAATTGTCTGTTCGATTTCATAATCGGGTTGGGCAATAAAACCTATGGTAAGGTAACATTTTATAATATAGTAGGAGCATACTCAATTTGTAGCAGCTTGAAGGCCTTCGTAGAGGATATGGATTTTGTTTGGCTATTTGGAGTTTTATAGAGGACCGTCACTTGGGATCGTTGGACGTGAGTAAACTCCTGGCGTCCACTTACATACATAACTTTTGCTACGACTTACCCCTTCTTCACTGTAGTTAGTCGGCATCCAACACTTGGATTAATATAAATCCCACTTCAAGTGCTTAGGCACAGAAAGTAGGTAGCAACATAAACAGAAATATTAGTCTTTCTATATAGATAAAAAAATTCAAGGCGTGCTTTTGAACTCAAAATCTGATATATCCTTTCCAAAAGTCCTAATTTTATAAGCTATGCGCCTAACGATACCGCCAATTCCATCTGGAGCGTCCAATCCGTGGCTACTTTCACAGTAGTGCTAACTTAAGAAACTGTTTTTATCTCATTTATACCTTTGTATTGATAGATGTTCAGTACATCCATACAATTCGAAAGTTAAA